TCTGACATGATTATATATTCTTCTCAATCTTAGTGTCAAGAAAGAAGAAGAAAGTGCTCTCACTGTTTTTTCTTTTCTAAAAATTTAGACACAAAACAAAAATATTTAAACTCCTTATATTAATTCTATTAAATTGGTTCAGGTCAAATACGCCTTTATTTTAAGGACTTTATGTTCTGCTAAGCAGCTTTATCTATGCTAACTTCATTAACAAAAGATATCTAATCACCCGATCACATGGCACTGACTCTGTGCATTTAGGCATGTAAACATTGTCAAGGTGGCCTCCTGAACTTCAAACTGTGCAACAGAATGGAGAAAAAAGAGGATTTAAGTAACTTTAAATGTGGCATGGTTATTGGTATTTCAGAAGCTGCTGATCTGCTGGGATTTCCCACTCACGCAGTTCTAGTTTTGTTTTGTTTTTTTATAGAGAATTGCTCTGAAAAAGAGAAAACATCCAGTGAGCAGCAGTTCTCTAGGTGAAAATACCTTGTTGGACCCTGAGGTCAGAGGAGAATGACTGGACTGCTGGGAGCTGGCAGGAAGGCAACATTAACTCAGATAAGCTTTTGTTAGAACCAAAGTACGCAGAAGAGCATCTCTACAGCAGCAGAAGAACACACTGGCTGCCGCTCCTGTTCCTTATCCACCACAGATAAAGTCACCTGGCTCAGCTTTAACACTTCTTGGACCTTTTTAGTTCATTTCCCACCTCCAGCCATAATTTTTGTTAGTGGGTTAGGTTTTGTATGAGGGTTAAAAGATCCATTTCCTGCACACTACTTTCTGTTTGTTGTTCACATGGCGAGTCAGGCGAGCAGGAACAAATGCACAGATACAGATGTCATCACAAAGGAAGCTCTTTTCACTTTTAGCTTCTCTATTGTCCGAACATCGGCTTGCTTGCAGCAGAGATAGGTGGCTAACAAAGGTAGTCCTCTGTAATGGCTCTTCTCTGGACTCGAGTGAGAAAGTAATTTAGCGACAGACGGACGTGTGGGCTCCCCGGACACTCCTCAGGCCTCATTACACGAGTCGCTGACAGAGCCTCTCCTCTCTAATTACCTTCATTTAGCCTGACCTGCCGCTGCTTTAGACTTCACACTCTCGGCTTGCAGCAGCGGATGTTTACTCATCTGTCAGGTGGACACAGGTCTTTCTTTTTTTTCTCTCTCTCTTAACGACAGGATAATTTAAGTTCCAGCTCTCCTGCATGTATGAGGAGGAATCCTTTATCAGGGTAAAAATACTGAAAATGACAGGCAAGAGAGGCGGAACTGAACCTTTGACTTTTGGTGATCTTACTATTAGAAAAACTGGATTTGTACACTTACAGGCTGAATTCATGTTAATTCCAGGCTCAATTTCCCACAAAAAAAACAAAAAAGAAAAAGGCTGAATCCGTGTGTGATAGATCACGCTCCTGAGGGCTTCCATTATCCCACCTTTGCGTCCTCAGTCATGTTTGCTCTGCTGGTTTGAGAAGGGCAGGCACACTCACAGAGGTGTTGGGCATTAATGCTCCCTCTTATACGACACACACCACACTGCATACTGTGCATGTGTGCATAAAAAAATCATTTTTATTTGCATTTTTTTGCAAATTTGTTCTGGTATTTTCGATTTTCCTGTAAAGGTTTAAAATATAAATACAATAATATTTTAAGATTATTTAAATGTTTGCAGGAAATCATGTAGCTGAAAATCTGCGATCCAAATAGTTTTCAGTTTTTCCATGAATCTGCATTTTTGCAAATGAAAACAAATAAATTTGCATTATTACAGCCAGCCACTTTTTTTTATTACAGCCATTTCCAGCTGTTTCTTTTTTCACTGCCTGCTAAAATCTAGAAAAAACCCCAAAATCCAGTCCACCACCGCATTTTGGATTTGTAAGCTGTAACTAAACCTTTAAGACGTGTTTCTATGTAACATCACCCGCCATTCCATTAGGTACACCTTGCTAGTACTGGGTCGGACTCGCTTTTGGCTTAATTCTCCGAGGTTTTAGTCCATGTTGACATAATAGCACCACACAGTTACTGCAGATTTGCAAATGAGAATCTTCCATTACACTGCATCCTAAAGCTGCTCTGCTGGATTAAAATCTGAAAACTGGCTAATATAATGAAGTGACGTGCTGTCCATTCGGTGATGCTCTTCTGCATACCTTGACTGCAACCAAGGTATGCAGAAGAGCATACCTTGCATGCATTTAGGCATGAAGCACGTCTATATGCCCAAATCCTTTGAGTTGTTAAAAGGTGATTGGCTGATTAGACAGCTGTACCTAACAAAGTGGCCACTCAGAGCACGTAGCTCAAAGCTAGTTTAAGCATTTATTGTGCACAGCGGCTCCATTAACAGATCACAGATAACTGATGTCTGTCTTGTGCTTACAGATGCTAAATGAAGGCACTTAAAATTAAGCGCTGCTGATCATCTCTGTACTTAGAGCCTACCTGCAGGAATTCATCAATTTCGACTTGTCCGTTCTTGTTGAGGTCCACTTCATTAAGGATTTCATGGAGCGCGTTTTCATCAATGTGCACATTGATGCTCTGCAGGGAAGGAAAAACACAGCACTCGGGATCAATGACATGCAGCTGCGGGTAACAAATATGTGAAGACTGAGAGAAAAAAACTCACCTGTAAAACTCGCTGGACGTCAACAGTGGTGATGAATCCTTTGCTCTCTTTGTCAAACTTATGGAAACGCTTCTTGTACCTGTCAGACACACGAGCAGTAACAGCCGATTTACAGCAGCGATATTAACAGACAACAACAACAGCAGTGGATCAAATACCGTCATGTTGATGTTGCGCATACAACACCATAACCAGCATTGGCGCAGGACCAACACTGGAACCAGTCCACGACCCAAAAAACCCACATGGCCTCCAGTAACCACTACTTAAATTCTAGCTTTCATTCCCTGGTTGGTATTTGGGAATGAACATTTTTCCCTAGCGAGCAGTGGCTGTTAGAGGCTGTTATGCTTTCCTCAAAAGCGTGTTGACCTTCTAATTACTCGCTGGTTTGGAAATGCCTTTGAGGTGCAACAGCAACAGTTTGTAAGTTGTAACTACTACCATCTGCACTGAAATAAATAAAATAAGTATTTTCCCCAAACGGGATAAAAAAAGGCCTGACTTTCCTCCTTTCACCCACCACCTCACCCACCATTTATGACCTACTTATACTTTTTTATTTATACTTATAGTATTTAATAGCTTCATTTGTGTTTATGACCCCTGTACTGTTTCATTTATCTATGACAGGTAATCTAAGATGTTTTCATATTACTTTTATACATAGAGGAGTTTTGGTATCACAGCTCTACCAGATCCTTCAAAGAGTTTAAAAGGGCATTGCCTGAAACTGTTGCCAACTCCATCCAATTCATCCAACCAGAGATCAGTACCAGAGACAGTATTTGGGTAACTGAGCCACAAACATGGTCCTTTATCCCTGAAAGCAGCA